TCAATCAGGAGCTCGCCTTTGTGCGACTTTCGCCTGAGGCAGGCGATCGCCTCGTTGAAGCAAGGCGATCTGCCTTTTTTCTCTTTTTTCTTTTTTGTTAATTTTTATTTTTATAAAATACATTTAGAAAGTCCCCTCCCTTCCTTGCAAATTACTTCCAAGTCCAAACCCTAACTTCTCAGTTCTCATTCTCTCTGCCTCTCGACTTTCACCCTCAATCTCCAACCCTCACCGCCACCATCTCCGACCGTCGCAGTCGCTGCCTCCTCCTTCGTCTGTCGCCGCCTCCGACTTTCAAAGGTTTCTTTCTGTTTTTTTTAATTCTTTTATCTTATTATTCCTTTTCATCTGTAGCATTTCACACCAATTCTTTCTTAAACCTATTCCAGACCCCAATATTTCTTAATGTTGCTTGTCTTTATTGGGAACTAAACTAATAGAATTTGGTTGTTTTATGAATCTTGTTGACATTTACTATGACACTATTTTGGTATTGGTTTCTTAAACTAGGTTTACTATATAAATTTATGCACTATAAATATAATTTTTATTTATTTATTAAGATGCGTCTCACTTCACTCGGGCGTCGCCTTTGTATCGCCTCTCACCTCAAGGTGATCAAAGGGCTTGTCGCCTTGAGGTACGTCTTGCACCTTGAAAACACTAATCCTACCATTGTCATCCTCCAAAAGACGAAATTAGAGAAGATTGACCGCCTCCCTATAAAATCTCTTTGGAGCTCTCGGGACATCGGATGGACAGCCCTGGATGCATCGGGATCATCAGGGAGTATTCTTATCATGTGGAATGATCCATCATTCCTCGTACCATGGGTCTCTACACATTAACCATCCTTATCAACCTTTCTGATGGCTTCAAATTTTGGCTTACAGGGGCCTATGGTCCATCAAGAACAGAAGATAAAGCTAGCTTCCAGAGGGAATTGACAGACCTATCTTACCTTTGTTCGGAATTTTGGCTCCTTGAGGGCGATTTCAACTCCATCCAATGGTCCCAAGAAAAGTCTACCTACTTCCGCCTGACCAGAAATATGAGATGCTTCAATTCCTTCATTGAGAATGTAGAGCTACAAGACCTCCCTCTTACACATGGCTTCTACACTTGGTTTGATTTTATGGAAAACCCAACCCTTACCTTGATTGACAGGTTCCTTGCCACAAACGACTTCCTATCAAAGTTCCAAAATGCTGCGATTAAGAGACTAAATCGCCCAACCTCAGATCATTACCCCATCCATCTCTCTTTCAGTTTGGCTAAATGGGCCCATCCCCCTTTCGATCCGAGAATGCATGGATACAACACCATTCTTTTAAACCTATGATTGACTACTGGCGGCTAAAACACTCCCCTACGAGGCTGGCCCGAGCATGGCTTTATTAAAAAGTTAAAGGAGCTGAAATCGGTAATTAAACTATAGAGTAACTCCACTTATGGTAGCATTAGCCAGCAAAAGAATCTCTTTATATCATAACTATCTATTTTAGTATAGAGGAAGAAGAGGGTATCCTGCAACTTGTACAAATCACACATAGGAGAACCATCAAAGTCCAACTGCTTTCTACCGTGGCCAAAATAGAGAACTGTGGAGGGAAAGATGCAAAACCAGATGGTTATAGGAGGGAGATTTAAACACATCCTTTTTCCACATAATTTTGGCCACAAAGAGGAGGAAAAGCACCATTATAGAAGTTCTTTCTTCGGAAGGTACTAGCCTCCTAGAGGAAGAAGAAATTGTTAATGAATTCCTTTCTTTTTTTGACAAGTAATATACAAAAAAGGAAGGCTCTCAGTTCCTCCCTTCCCCTAGAATGGAACCCGATCACTATGCAACAAAGTTCTGATTTAGAGAAGCCCTTCACTGAGGAGGAAATCTGGAGAGCTTTAAATGATTCGGGATCAAACAAGTCGCCGGGACCAGATGGCTATAAACAATTCTGGAACACTCTGAAGCCCGACATCATGAGAGTGTAAAGTGTTCTAAGATTTTTTTAAGAATGGCATTACTAATGCACGCCTCAATAAAACATACATTTGTCTCTAAAAAGATTGATGCACGGAAGGTAGGAGATTACCACCCCATCAGTTCCATATCATGCGTCTACAAGATTATCGCTAGAGTTCTCTCAGAAAGGTTAAAAGGTTTGCTGCCCCACACCATTACAAACGAGCAATCTGCTTTTGTAGTCGAAAGACAAATCCTAGATGCATCTCTAATAGCCAACGAGCTCATTGGGAAAAGGAAAAAGCAGAAAGGAATGGTCATCAAACTAGATATCGAAAAGTCATTCGACAAAGTTGATTGGGATTTCCTTGAGGAGATTCTTGCCGCCAAAGGATTTGGCATCACTTGGAGACGTTGGATTCGGGGTTGTGTCTCATCAACAAATTTCTCCATTATCATTAATGGTCGTCCCTAGGACAAGCTCCTCGCATCTAGGGGTCTTCGACAAGGTGATCCCCTCTCTCCCTTTCTCTTTATCATGGTTGTTGATGTCTTTAGTAGACTAATGTCACAAGCAGCAAGAAACAACCTAATAAAAGGCTTTGACATTGGAAGTAACTCCTTGGCCATCCATCACTTACAATTTGCAAATGATACCATCCTTTTCTCACAATATGATGACTCCTCCCTCGTCAACAGGTTTAACATCATTAGACTTTTCGAGGAAGCATCCAAGCTCAACATAAACCACTAGAAATCAGAAGTATTGGGGATAAGTCTTGAGGAATATGAACTTTCATCACTAGCCTTAAAATTTGCTTGCAAAAGCGGCTCCTGGCCGAACACTTACCTTGGTTTTTACCCCTACATGGCAAGCGTGGATCACTCTCATTTTGGGAACCAGTGGTTGAGAAAATGCATAAGCGGCTTCAATCATGGAAGAACTCGAAGAACTCCTTTCTCTCCAAAGGGGGCAGACACACACTCATCCAAACCACCCTTTCAAACCTCCCCACCTTCTACCGTTCTCTCTTCCCAATGCTATCTAAGGTAGCACACACCTTGGACAGCACCATCTCTAGCTTCCTTTGGAAAGGTAACAAGGAGACCAATGGGCTGCACCTAGTCAAGAGAGACCTCACACAACAACCTGATTCAAGAAGGAGGCCTTGGTATCACTAATATTTTTTTTTTAAATCCGTGTGTCCGGGTCAGCTTGCTTGCACCTCGACTAATCACGGGCCAACTGCCTGACCCTACTACATTTGGTTGACAAGGTAACTCGTAGGAAATTAAATCCTAGGTAGGTGGCCACCATGGTTTGAACCCATTCCTTCTAAGTCCTTTGCTATTTACATTGGCCCTTATTGACCACTCGACCATCATTCTCCTTGCTAAATGGGTATGGAGGTATTTAGAGGATGATACTGCTCTTTTGGAAGAAGGTGATTGAAGTAAAATATGGTAAAGCAACATGGAACCTACAGCCCATCACTACATTCATCCCATCTGCAAAAGGTCCTTGGAAGGTCATCTAAAAAAAAACTGATTTATGACCAACTGGCTTATGAAATCGGTGATGGTAAGACTATCTTTTTGGAGACAACCTTGGTTGAATGGTGAGCCCCTAGAACAAACCTACCCTCTCCTTTTTGCTTTATCATCGAGAAAGGAGGCACCCATATCGAATCTATGGTCAAAGCATCCTCCTGCTGGAATTTGAGTTTAAGGCGAAGCCTCGAGGATTCAGAGATCACGGAATGGGCAGCACTCAGCCACCAGCTCTCTGATGTGCACCTATCTACACACGCAGATTCCCCCATCTCGAGATTAGAGCCTAGTGGCTCTTTTTCCACTTGTTTACTCACTAGAGACCTCACTCAACAAAGCCCGACCACCCAAAATAGTCCCTACAAAGTAATCTAAAAAGATAGTTGCCCAAAGAAAGTGAGATTTTTCCTTTGGGAGCTTAGCCACCGTGCCATCAACACCAACAATAAGCTCCAAAGACGGCTTCCCTATATGGCTATCTCTCCACACTAGCGCTCCATCTGCAACGCCAACTTGGAATCTCAACAACATCTCTTTGTCACTTGCACCCTTGCATCTGAATTTTGGAAATCCATCCTCAACACCTTTGGGTGGTCCACGGCCCTGCCAAATGACCCCCTCTTAGGGGCTACTCTTGCTGGGCGCCCTTTTAAAAATGAAAAGGCAAAGCTACGGATGAATTTTATTCAAGATTTATTTTGGACTACATGGGGAGAAAGAAACCAAATAACCTTCAACGGTAAACCACAATCTTTTGAGAGGTTTTTTTATGTTATAGTTTACAAAATTGTCACTTGGTGTAAAAGCTCTCCTATTTTTCATCACTATAGCTACACTTCCCTTTTAGCTAATTGGAAGTGTTTTATGTAAGTCTTACATAGCCTTTTGTAATTTCATACATCCATGAAATTGTTTCTTACACTAAAAAAAAAAAAATCCTTGTTTCTTAGATCCGGCCTTAGGGTGGGCAAAGCCTCCACTGAGATTAGAGGAGGGTGGGTTACAAGAAAAATGCAAGGACTAGGGTCCTCGAAACCCCAATAATCAAAAAACTAGATGGATTAATCAACTCCAATGGAGAGAGGTGAATTAAACAATATAAACATGGGCTCTGACCAGGTTTGTCATTCACGTACTGCCATTACATGGCTCTAGTTTACATTCATGAGAGTTTATGATTATGATGAGTATACAGATCCAATTAGAACTGCTTTAATATCACTTGGTCTATTCCATGCTACAATTCCAAAAAATAGGGAAAAAAAACTTTGTAAGAATACTATACATTTTAGAAATGTGATAAGGAAAAGAGATATGTCGCCATAAAATATTAAAGAAAATCCAGTATTTGGTGAAAGAAGAATTCCATATTGATCATTTGATATGTATAAGATTTAGGTTCAAAAACTAAAAACTGAATATAATTAAACTTAGGCATCTAAAGATGACTCGGTAAAAATACGTTCAATGGGGAGTTCAATAATACCTCTGTCTTTAAATCCGTTCCGTAAATACAGAAAACAGTCTTTATTGGAGGTCTATCCCAAGGCGTTAGTGGATTCAGGACAGGATCGCTATGATATAACCTGTAGTATCAAAACACAAAGGGAAAGAAACGGAAATATCAACAACATATAATTATTTGTTTAGATCAATTTATCTTTTGAAGAAATAGATAGGCAGTAAAAGAAATTTACTAAAAAAGAACCTAGATTTCATGGTTGGTTATGTATACTCTATATTATTAAAAATTATGCAATAAAAGAAAACAATTTATGTTTTTTATAGATAAGAAACACATTTATTGAAAAGGAAGAATATAGAAACGAAAAAAAGGGGGATTAGATTTTAACACTGGCCCTCGTGGCTTCGGAAATTAGAGAAAATATCTCCTGTGCACTTTTGGTTGAAGTGGTGAAAAGTTACAATAGGATATTATTTATAAAGAATCCCTCAGAAAATTCAAACTGAACTATAAAGTCAACCAATTGCTGACGACCATAGCCCTAACCCAACAAAATCTCACCAGAAAGCCTCCAATTCGAATTGATAATTAGCAAGGGAACACCGTGAAGAGCAATAAAACTTGGCCAACTAGAAGACTTTCTCCTAATTGTGTTCTTTTTCGTTGAAGATATGGTAGTTTCTTTCCATTCAAATTCCCTAAGCAAATGTCTTCTTTATAGCATTGAATCATAAAATCTTTACCTTTCCCCAAATCTTTGACCACACAATAACGCTCAATCTTATCTTCAACCGCTTCATCAAAGACCCAAGATACTCCACTCTCTTTGTTCGTTTTTTATCCCATGCTTTTAATTACGATTAAACATCATGTCAACGACTAATTACAGGTTGTGGCACAACTTACGTTATGTTCACCAACAACAGGACTTCAACAATGTGTCCATGTTAGTTTTTTGTTCATTATAATATTGCAACTAAGATACCAGGAATTACAACAGTCCTCTCCAAGTGCTATAACTTAATGACATTTGTAAAACAAGCTGCAGTAATTAATATGAAGTCCACTTAATATATTTACCCATAGAAGCATAATGCTACAAGCTTTGTTTCATTAATGATAAGAACCTCTATTACCATCAGCAAAATACATTTTTATTAGAATTGCTAGAACATGTCCACCTGTGTAGCTGGTATGAAAGCCTTTTGCTATCTGGATCATAATCCTCAATTGCATTGAAAAAAGTTCCATCAGATGTTTCACGAGCAGAGAAAGATCGCTGAGTAGGGAGTCCACACTCCATGCTTGTCAAGTTTTTATGTGTAACCTCTGAGAGTGATGGATACACATCATATCCAGCTGATGCTCCAGCTAATTTAACACACAGGAGAAAATCAGTTATAATAGCATCATGCACTGTCTCATATGAGGTTAGAATCAGTCAGAAGTCTTACGAAGGACTGAAGGAACTTCTATATTGGCAATATTTGTTGGCCATCCAGAGTAGTTTAAGTGAAATTCCTGCTCACTACAGCGATAGGAGTGATGAACTCCCCCATTCCCCTTGGAGAAATGCTTCCAATATACATCATCTCCCCTACAATACTTGGAAATTGGCATCATCCACAATGAAGAACCAAATGAATTGCACATCAACCTAGCTGTCCCCTGATACCTCGCCAAATTAAATCTGGTATTAGGTTAAATAAGAATTCAGAGGAGTGACTTACTCCAAGCATAATTGAGTCCGGACACTCCCTTTCAGGAGTAAATAATAGTTGACTTAATGGCTCAATGAGTAAGGACTTAGAAAGGAACTCCTAATCCTTGAAGAGAAGTGGTTATGATTGGTGAGGGCACGGATTTATTTTGCTCTGACATGCATCAGAGAATAACTTTTACTGTACTCGTTATTCTTGAAAAAGGAATCCGAATTAGTTGATGGACATCAATATCAAGGAGTAAGGACCAAAGAAATGTTGAAAAAGATGCTATTCAAGAGCAATACCCAGATCTAGTTAAATGTAAATTAGAAATGGGAGCTAGTGGTGAACTTGGTGATAGAGTCATACAAGCTTATCTTAGTAAAAGGGTTTTTCATATTTCCACGTATTCACAAGTTCATTTTATGAGGGAGAGAATAAAATAAACCAATGAATTTCTGAAGTCTAACACAGTTTGACCATGTGACATCTGCATGTTTGTGCTTGAAACAAATGTGGTAATCCGTTCACCTTGAGTCAAAATGAGGAAGTTCAAAGCATTAGATTCCTCGGACCTTAGCCCACTGAGTAGCTCATAAACTGATGGAATTAATAAATTACAGCATCATATTATCTGATGGTCGTAGTTAATGCAATGGCAAGAACAGGATTGGACAATAAATCAAGTATATAATTATTTTAAGGATAAAGAGTCTACCTATCCGTCAAGTTGCATAATAAATATTAAAGTGTCAATGTTGAAAGGTGCAGCGGAACCACCAAGCAGGATGGAGAGAGAGAGAGTTAACTAAAGGTTTTCGTGAGTTGATAATTGAAAGGTAACCTCAGAAATAGGGAGACCAAACGTTGAACCAGAAAGAGTGGCTTTTATTGTGTCAGGTGCACCAAGAAGAGGAGCTCCTGTTCTCAATAAAAATAGATAGGGAAAACAATTTTGTGCAAGTAAATAGTGTGCGTAAAATTTTAAAAAAAAATAACTTAAGGAATTAGTTTCTTAATGAAACAAGTCATACCAACAGCAAAGTAGGCGTGAATATGTCGATCCAGCCACTCGAAATAGTGTTTTGGGGCAATTTCAAGCTTCAGCCATTCCAAAAAGTAGCGAAAGACGTTATTACCCAATGAATGAGCAAACACTATTGAGGGACCTCCACGAAGTTTTAAAGCTGTCTCAAATGTCAATCTGGAAAGAGAAGAATAATATTCAGAAACATTAAGCACCGACAAGCGGCAACCAAACAACTTCTAAGGCTCTAAACAATTTTATTTGGAAAAGAAAAAACAAAAAACAAAAAAAAATAACTTATGATTAGGCATCGAGTCTTTGGACACATTCTCAGGTCTCTTCTAATTCAATTTAAGATTTAAGATTTCAGGTCTCTTTGTGTTGGTATCGGGAGTAAAATATTTTTGTATTACATGTACCTCAACTCTGCTTCACCGTAATGTTCCAAATGTTATATACAGTACTCTTTAAAATATTTAAATAATACAAACCAGCCTGTGAAGGAGAGAAGTCGTGATGCACCATAAAGCATCTAGATTTTATTTGTCAAAAATTAAGGAAAGATCAATCAGAAGGTGACAGGAAAGTAAAAATTCAAAATTGGAGGCCACAATCGTTGGTGATAACAATAGCATGTATGATAGATCCATATACAAACTTGAGCTTGTGGAAATAAAGGTCCCGCTCCTCAAGCATTGTTGGTGACAATCTCCAATCATAGGGAACAGCAATAATTGCATTAGCTTCAATACCGAATTCAATACACCATTTTATCCATTCTTTCCACACTGAAGAAAGAGGACCTACAGTTGATAAATTGTTGCATAATAGGTAAGCTTGTCACTGGATGGAAGTATAGTATATGAATATATGAAATATTCTACAACTAGTATAGTATACTTTTTCTTCAATTACCCGTTATGTAGCCAGGATCAAGTTCAGTGATAGCTGAAAGACCACTATCAGGCCGTGACTTGCATTCAGGATGATCGGTTTGATTGTATGGATCTAGCAAAATACACTTGAGCCAGCAATTGACTGCAGAAAGAAGCTGCAAGACATATGAATATTCAAAGACAGTACAACTTATTATTGATTTTATCATTGTTTAATCATATCACAGAAACAATTTTGCTAATGTCCCCAAAGGAGAAAACTAACGTGAATTTGGAAGACAAACAGATTTTAAAAGGCATTTAGGAGCCGTGCGATATAAAATACGAGTTTCAAAATCTTCGTGTTCTTGTTTCTTTTTTTAAATCTTCGTCTACTTGATTTAACTAAAGTTCAGCAAGTATTGTTTTTATGTGAGATATCCGACAAGTATTTGAATTCTCTATTAAATCATTTTCAGTCTCCTCTCGAAAGTTCAAACCAGAGATTACGTTTGAATCCATAGGAATTAAATTATAAATACCCAGGGAAAAAGAAAAAAGATATAAAACATAAATTTTGGAACGATCCTAAGAATTAACAAAATCCCACTCATTTGATGAACCGGTTGGGTTCAGATTAGCACAACAACAATATCAAGAGAGCAACAGAAAAAGAAAAGTGGTAGCATTATTTTTTAAAACAAAATAAAATCCCATTGTTAATCCACTAGTTCATCCCAGTGGACATAGTGGCATTCGGAAATCGGAGAATTGCAATGAAACGGGCAAGCAATTTTCAACCATGGTATGCTTTAGGCTTTAGCTACGGAATCTACTACAAGGATTAACATTAACTTCACATTCATTTACCTGCTAACAATACAAGAAGATAGAAAGATAGAGCGAGAGAGGTACCTTAGTAGTATCGAGCCAAACGAGGTCGAGGGGATTGAAATCGAGAGGCGAGTAGGGGCAATCCAGAATGGACCACGCTCGGAGCTGTGTGGAAGCGAAGCCAGGGATTATGATACCCGAGAGTTTAGAGTAGTCTCCACCGAACTCGCCCCCATCTCCATCAAACTTTCTCCCGTCTCCACCCACACCTTGCAAGAGAAGCAGGACAGTCAACACCACGCGAGAAGCTTCTCCTATCATTTCATTCCCCTTTTTGTTCTCCTTCACGTCACTGGTCTCTTCGTCAGCTCTGGTTCGACCTCCGACCACTGCCCATGGACTATTTCTTATCTATTGGACTGTTGAGCTTTAACCAACATATAATCTTCTCCGAGAACAAAGATGTGGACTGTTGAGCTTAAACTAACCAACATGGGGAAAAAAATGTATTGACTGCTAGATTGTGAGAAGCAAGAGAAACAAAGATTACACTTCATAAAAAACAAGAAAAATGAACCGCGTAATTGAGTTAGCTAGATCATTTGCTAAGTCATTGACATAAAACCTGAAGTAGAATGGAAAGAAAATAGGGGGGTAATAGTTAGTCAATTTGGTGGCAAGGGCTAGAGTACAGCACTGGTAGCAAAAGTTTCGAAACAGTTCGAGAACTCGATTTCAACATCCAAGGAAAAGCCAACCGTGCAATCTCGCCTTCCCAATGGCTCATAAAACAACAAGACGCCATACAACACGATCACGTGCTACTCAAAATTTTCCAATTCAATTCCATAACAGTCAGAAATGACGGGCGTATCTCCCGTGCTTCTTCAGAAACTCTTATTACTACCCGCTTGAGACAAAAACAAACGATGGACTACTACCTCGGCTATATCATGCAATTAAGCATAATTGAGAAACACTAGAAGCTATGATCTGCACCTAAGCAAAATGGATGCTAAAATCTTGAAGAAACTAAATTACAGAGGAAAATACAAAAACGCTCGTCGGTATGTTGAAATTCATGCAAGCTGAAATTTCTTTCCCAGTCTACCGGAGCTAATATGGAAAAAAAGCTCAAGCGCGATTAATTAAGCAAGAAAATAACAATTGGTGTAGCTAAGCTATTTGCTTCAATTCATGGGAAAAATCGAACAATTAAGAAATTTGCTTAAGCAACAAATGAACTTAGTGAAAGCGCAAACCTGGTTCAGACCTAGGCGTAAACCCTAGAGGGACTTCAAAAGCTAGCACCGAACACTCATTAATCCAACACATAATTTACGATAAACAAATTTATACATTAGACATCGACTTGAGCCTAATGCTCCATTTACATTTTAGGTAACAAAAAAATGGCTAAATATGTGTAATTAGAACACAACAAATTCAGCATGCTCTTAGCATCCAGCATACTTTTGCAAACGAGATCATTATACAAACATCACGCTTTCAAGAGTTCATACGAAACATCAAACCACAACAACACCAGCCTGCTTAAAACATAGTTGATCACCATAAATACATCAAACCATCACACATCAACAACCTCAAAATAGCCAAACAGGATTACATCCAACATATCCATTGACAACACATGCATATCTAGAATAAATACTATAGATAAATATTCAGAAGCACAAKATCCAACGTTAATAATACATAACCAAGCAAAGCAAAGCAAGCAAACAAGTAAACAAGCAAGATTTCACATCAAGCATAGAACAAACGTCCCCAAGTAAGGACTACTTACACAATAGTGTCCTAAAGCTCCTAAGCTTTGCCAGAAGTTTCCTAATACAAAACACATATGAATTTGGGATTAGGAATCAATTCGAAACACCTTAAACGAATTGAAAAGTGAGTTTAAGCAAGCCGTTACTTACTGAACCTCCTGAAACCGCTTGGGCTAAGTCCGTATCGGTGTAGAAGGAGCCTGACCTTGCATAATGGAGTTATAAGGGTTCAAAGGCTTGCAGGTCCAACACAGAGAAGGAGTGGGTATCACGAATTTGACTTTGTTTGGGTGTGAGWCAGCGTGATTGTCACCAGAAGGCAACTGTTCACGTCGAGAAGGGGGTCCGCTGCAGATGAGCGCCTAGGCGCTGTGGTCGCAGATTGTGCAGAGGGAAGAGCGACGCCGTTCGTGGAGAGTCGCGCCGCCGTGGGTTCGTCGGATCCGTTGCAGACGACGCCGGAGAAGAGGTCGCGCCGCCGGGGGAAGTTGCAGGGTCGCCGGTCGCCGATACTTCAGGGGCTGTTCRCGTCGCCGTTGAGGATGCTCAAAACACGCTGCTGCAGGGTGTCGCCGGAGGATGTCGCACTACTGGGTTGTGTTTCTGCCGTGTAGGTTCGCTGGAACACCGCAAGTCCGAGGTCTCGCCTGAAACGCGTCGCCGGAGGAGGGAGGGCTGAGCGACTGAAAACGGAGGATGAAGGGAAGAAGAGATGGAATTAGGATTTTGTCAAATTAAAGATAAATTTTTTTTTTTTAAGAAAGTATTGGGCTTCCTTTCCTAAAATTTATCCTCTCTTTGAATTAATTCAACAAGCAAACTTAAAAAATAATCTAGTTTTAAAAATAAATTCAAAAAATAATGTTAACCTAAAAGTAATAGCAAACTCCTCGTCTCTGAGGGTAGTCGCCTTACCTCCAGTGCAAGTAGTTTTCGTCTGGGTAGCTTTGTTTGGTTCGCTTCGTGCCTGCCGGCAACCATGAGTGTGGAAGACATTACTTCTCCATGGAGAAACACGAAACTTACCTCTGTAGAAGATGAGGTTGCAGACCTGAACCATGTGGATGCTTCAAAAGGAAAAGAGATCCTCACTTTTTGGGCGGTGGGGAAGGTGTTGTCTAGCAAATTGATCATATATAGAGGCCTTCCGAAAGGTCATGAAGAAGGTCTCGAATGTACACAAAAACGTTGTCATTGATTGCATTGGTGAGAACCTGTTCCTGATACATTTTGCAAGCAATGTTTAGAAGAAAAGAATTCTTAATAGTGGGCCTTAGTTCTTCAGCAAATCCATAGTTTTACTATAAAGTCCGAATGATATTGAACAGCCAAGGAATATTAAATTCACTCATGCTAATTTCTGGATTCATCTCTACAAGTTACCCCTCCTTTGTATGACTAAACAATTCATAACGGAAGTTAGCCAAAGAATTGGAGATGTAATTGATGTCGACCAGAATTTGAACGGACAATATTGGGGGAAATTTACTTGGGTCCAGATTAAGATAGATATCAGTAAGCCCCTGAGAAGAGGCCTGAAGTTGAAAATTGGAGGCTGATATGATGATGTATGGATCCCTCTCAAGTATGAGAGACTTTCAGAGTTTTGTTATTTTTGTGGAAAAATTGGCCATAGTAACAAGTAGTGTGATGAAAGACAGGGCAATGAGGATGAAAACCACGTCTATTATGGATCTTGGCTGAGAGTCGGAGGAGAGAAAGATTGAGTACGAGGGGAGGATCGTCAGGCAAGTGATGAGGATTTGAAAAACGAGAGGGGAAGAGCTTGGCATGGCAGTAGTAGAGGAAGAAGATGAGGTCGTATGTTTCCGGATGGGCAAAGAGAGTGGTACACCGACAATGAGAAGGAAGGAGATGTGGTCTCTACCGGAGAAGCAGATATTTCAATTTGCAGACCGAAAAATACCGTTGGAGGAGATCGGGACCACCAGCAGCAGATCATTTCTGAAGAGGAAAATAAGGAACATTTAATGGGGACAGAATCAAAATTTAATGAGTTTCCTATTTCTTCCGTTACTAGTCCAAATCAAAATTTAAATATTAACAAGCCAGAATCTCAAGGTTTGGACTTTTGTAATGTGGGCCCATAAGAGAAAGAAAATATGGAAACTGAACAAGGGGAATTATGGTCAAATGGCGTGGATCCAAAAGGAAAGAAGCCTATGATAGGCACTACATCTGAAAATCAAAGAGATGAGGTAATGGCCCCTGTGCAACGAAAACAGTGGAAGAGACAAGACTGTGACCAGAAGAATGAGAGTAGGAAGCTAGTAACATCCAGACAAGTAAGAGAAGATCGGAGCACCTAGTTTGTTTAGAGCAAAGGGAGGCAGATGATCAATTAAAAAAGGCCATATTAGCGGATGAGAATCAAGTTTTCAACCATGATGCGGCGACCCTTGAACCTCAGGGGCACCGAGCATTATGAAAATTCTAAGTTGGAATGCTCGTGGTATGGGCAATCCACGAGCATTCAAAGCTTTGCACACAATTATGCAAGAGGTGCGGCCCCATGTGGTTTTCATAATGGAAACTAAGTTAAGAGAAACTAAATGTAGAGAACGACAATCTGTGCTCGGTTATGATAATGGCTTTGGGGTTAGCTAAAAAGGGAAAAGTGGTGATCTGTGGCTTATGTGGAAGGATGACATTGATCTCACTATACAATCCTACAACATGTTTCATATTGATGCTAATGTTTCAGAAGATTGTAACAAATGGAGGATTACGGGTTTCTACGGTAAACCGGACGCAGCTAGAAGGAGTAATACGTGGGAACTATTGAGACATTTGAAGGGTAGAGGTAACCTCCCTTAGATTGTTTTTGGAGACTTTAACGAAATTCTTTTCAACTCTGAGAATATTGGTGGCCTAGAAAAACCAGGTAGATTGATGGAAAATTTTCGAGATACGCTAAATGATTGCAATCTGATCGACCTAGGCTTTGCTGGAAGGTGCTACACGTGGTTTAAAAAAAAATTGGAGATAGCTACGCTGTTAAAGAAAGGCTAGACCGTAGTGTTTGTGATCCGAGCTTCCTCAAAATGTTTCCTATGACTTCTATCAAATACCTTGACTTCACTACTTCGGACCATTGCCAAGTTGAAATTAATATCAGCAAGTCCAATGGAAGTACAGGTCGTCGGAAGCAAAATTCTTTCGGGTTTGAAGAGGTGTGGTTGCAGTATGAGGGGTTTGATGGAATTGTTTACGAAGGGTGGAATAAGGCTCCTATTGGTGGCTCGCTCAGTATGAGGAATCTATTGACTCGTATATCTCAATGTTCCAATTTTATGGAAAGGTGTGGTAGATCGAAGAAGTGGAATTATACAGACAGAATTTCACGTGCAAAAGCCGACTATCAAAGAGCTATAAACACAAACAAAGGTGTCTCTGCAGCAGGGAGGAAGTTAAAAAGTATTTTATTAGAGGAAGAAATATTTTGGAAACAGAGAGCCCGAACGGATTGGGTGCTTTGGGGAGATAAAAATATGACATGGTTCTATCAGAAAGCCACGCAGTGAAGGAAGAAAAATAAAATTGAAGGTTTATTTGATAAAGAGGGCAAATGGAGACATGATGAGAGGGATATTACCAAGGTGGTCAGTGATTACTTTGGAGAGTTATTCTCCTCCAATGGGCAAATTGACAATGAGGTTTCTTTGTCTTTTTTCCAGGAGACAAAGGTGATAGAACAAATGAATAAGAATTTAGATGTTCCATATTCTGAAGGAGAGCTTATGATTGCGCTGAATCAAATGCATCCAACCAAAGCTCCTGGCGTCGATGGAATACCAGCTCTATTTTACCAAAAATATTGGACTATTATCCGTCAGGAGGTGGTGGCGGTGTGTACATTTTGAATAATGGGGGAGAGGTTGGACCTATCAACCACACAACCATTGTTCTGATTCCAAAAAAGCAGGTGCCCAAGTATATTACAGAATTTCGGCCAATCAGTTTATGCACAGTCATATATAAGATTATCTCAAAATCTATAGCGAACCAGCTCAAGCTGATTTTGAATGACATTATCTCCCCCACTCAGAGCACGTTTATCCCTAGAAAAGCTATATCTGACAATGTGATTATAGGTTATGAATGCATGCATAGTCTAAAATCTAGATGATCCGAGAAGACTGAATGGATGACACTCAAGCTGGATATGAGCAAGTTGAAGTTGAATGATAGAGTAGAGTGAAGTTTCCTACAGAAGCTTATGCAGGCTTTGGGTTTTAACAAGTCCTTTATCCATCTCATTATGCGGTATATTTCTTCAGTATCTTACTCTTTTATTATTAATGTTGTAAAGAAAGGCTTTTTATATCCTAAACGGAGAATCCGACAAGGAGACCCCGTTTCTTTTTATCTTTTTCTCTTGTGTGCAGAAGGGCTCTCTTTGATCCTCTCTGACATGGAAGCTCGAAAGCAAATCACTAGAATTCGAATCGCCAGGGCTTGTCCTCCATTTAGCCACCTTTTCTTTGCTGACGATAGCCTGTTATTTACTAAAGCTACTAAAAAGGAGGCGATTTCTATTTCTAAGGAGTTGGTAGATTATTCAACTATCACGGGGCAAGAGATTAATTTTGATAAATTGGCCGTCTGTTTTAGCCCTAACACTACCCGGAGGTCGAAAAGGAAGATTGCTAAGATTTTGAAAATTGAAGAAGTGGCGTGCCATGAGAGGTATTGGGCCTTCCTTGTTGTCTATCCTAAAAGAAGGTGTCATATTTCAATTACATTAAAGATAGAATATGGAAACATCTTCAAAATTGGAAGGAGCAACTTTTTTCTGTGGGACGGAAAGAAGTTCTTATAAAGGTTGTGGTCCAAGTAATTCCTAGCTACTCTATATCTTACTTTAGATGACCAAAAGGAGTTATTGACGAGTGTAATCGTATTATAGCGAGATTTTGGTGGGGAGGAGGCGAGGATGGCAAAAAGATCCACTGGACCAAATCGGTCAATTTCTGTGTTCCTAAATGTAAGGGAGAGCTTGGATTTAGAGACCTTGAAAGCTTTAATCAAGCACTTTTAGCCAAACAGGGGTGGATAATCATCACTAACCCTCACTCCCTTCTGGCTAAAGTGCTGAAGAGCAAATATTTCTCGAATTCGAACTTTCTAGAGGCGGGGTGCAAGAGAAACGCCTCTTTTCTATTTTTCTGGGTTTTTTCCTCTCTTCCTTTTGTTTGTGTTTTTCCCTTTTGTAAAAAAAAAAAAAAAGTAATAGAAAAAATAAATGTAGTTTAAATAAATAATTTCAAAAGTAAGGTTGGTTTCAAAATGACTGGTTTCAAAACTATGGACAAAAATATGTTAGGTAAAAGTGGAAGTCAAAACTCGCGTACAATGCATGAGACTTCGATGCTAACGTATATATTGATGACGTGGGAAAGTGATATCTGAGTAAGCAAGAAAGTTACATGCATTGTATGCAATTTCCAACAGAAGTCGCGTGCGAACACCATTTCTTTTTATATTGTTATTTTAATATTTCGAATTTTTATATTGTTATTTTATTAGTATATTTTGAAATTTGATTAAAATGTTATTAAAGTTTTTTTTGTTATTATATTTGGAAATTTGATTAAAATCATTTAAAGTCAGCGAGTTTGAAATTAGATTAAAACCAATTCGGTGAATTATAAGTTTAAGTTTTCGTGTTTTCGTATTATATTATGCAAATGTTTGTCAAATACCAATTTTTATAATTGGTAAACATTCGATACAAAAAGTCGTTATAAACTTTAAAACGTATTACAAAACATAGATAATTATGTACCACATTGTCGTGGCCTTCTTACATAACGCCCACGACGAGGTTGTTGCTGAACAGGTGATAGGTCAAGTTGATGAGCTGAACTAGATGTAGTATCTGAATGAACTCTTGGTGTAGGAATCATTAGAAAATGCGACTGTACAGAAGTATTCATAATTTGTTCGTCTCCTATAGGAGGATATTCATTTTGTTCCTAAACATATTCAACTTCTTCTGCTTTATCTTGAACATCTTCATTTGGTCGTGGTTTGTTGCGCCCACGACGTGGACACCTCATTTCGAAGTTCAAAACTTCAAAGTAACTCTTGGATAAATTTAATTTGATTTAGTTATGCGAATGCAAGTATCACACAGCAATTTTAATATAGGTAAATTTTCTTGTACGGTATAGTCTTATACGTTGCTAACAAAAAAAATTCTGTAATTTATATAATAATTATTAATATTTAATTTCACTTAAATATTGTAATTAAAAAATATAAGAAAAGTAATACTAATCATGTAACCGTGATAAGTAAATTCATGTATGATATACTTTCTTGTAATCAAATCATATCAATCATGAAAATCATCTGACATGGTCGACACATCTGTCGTATGATCACTAAATGCTCACCAATCACTATGTTGATGCCATAGTGATATATAAGCTGCATGTTGATGTTGCCAATCATGATCATGTTTTCCTCGTAGGTCGATCTGACGTAGACTTGAGTTAGTATTACAATATCATGGTTTCTTTTGTAGAAACTCAAATTGTCGCAACACTCAATTTGGTAGATGTCACTTGATAATACAAAAACATATAAGAGGGCTTGAAGTCAACCAAATATTCCGCCTATTATGACAATATTCAAGTAATAGAGTCATAATGTCGTGATTATACGTGTCCAAATAATCTTAAATATTAATAAGTATTAACATTATTATTAAGCTAATTGTAAGTATTTATTTGTAAGTAATAAATTCACTTATACCTCGTTGGGCTTAAGTTGTGTTGGATCGGTACGACAACCCTAGAGGGGGTGAATAAGGTTTTATCACAATTTATAAACTTTTTACTACGGTGGGCTCAATTTAAATAATTATATAAACTTTTTATGAATAAATAACATTAACATAAATTATTCAATAAATTAGACATACATTCCAAGCATTCTAATTAGTTCTAATGTAAAGATTCACAATAAACATGAAGAATAAA